GGGGGTTGGAGACACAAGATAACGTTCAGCTGGAACAAGCAGTTCAGTTTGTGTGGAGCAAATATACTCCGCTTCGAAAAACTTTGACTTAGTTGTGACGCCTCCAGTTTTACTTCAGGATAAATTAACAGCAGTTTTTCCTATCTTTATTAAATTGGTTGAATGTATTGTGAATGTTAGGAGATGAAGGCTGTTATGTGTCAGACTTTGTGGAAAACAATAAAAAACAATCTGCTGATTTGTGACCGAATTATTTTTCTGTAGACTTTGTGAAATACAGACGGGAAGCAGAGTGATCGGATTCATTTCCAACACTTTCAAAAGGGATTAGCAACGTTCCGCTCTGGAAGTGAACAAATAAGCTCATAAGAAAGATTGTTCATTCACCAGTTTATTAAATATTTACATGACAAAGCGTAGAAGCAGATTCAACGAGTCAGACAGCACGACACGGGCAGAATAATAAAAAAAACAAAAAAGTGTGTTTGTGTGTAACGTCCGCTAGAAAGAGAAGAACACCACACGGAACATTTCCTTTAAGATAATTTATTTTTGTACAGTAAAACAGAGGTTCAGAGGCTGCATTGCATCCACCCAGTGGCTTTGTGGAGAGGACAGGGGAGGATGTTACAAACTTTGATGCAACCATTTTCTCTGCGCTTGTATGGGTTTATTTAGCATCTTACAAAGACGGGCAGTCAAAGCAACTCAGTCGGTTTGTGACAAAGCGTCTGATACGAAATGTCAAGACCTCAACTGCTGCCAGATAAAACAAACAAAACTTTTGTGGAAGGTGCATTCAAGAACGCCACAACTCTGACACAAACTTGCACCACAGTATTCCAGATGCAGGAACAATCTGTCGCACTATTGGTTCTACCGCACCCAACAACTAAAGACAAGCTTTCTTTAAACCTAAACATATATTCTCATTTCTCTACCTCCTCCTAGAAAGGCATGTGTGCGTGTTCGGCAGTTCTGTTTTTTTTGTCCGTATGGTAGTTGTGGGGTCGTTGAACGCGGCCCTCTCTGGTAGGTTTTAGGCCTGGGTAAGGGGGGAGTTTGATCTCCGTTTACTTGGGAGGCCTGTAGGCGATCTTCCTGCTCTTCAGCACGGACCACCTGTGCCTCTTCATGTAGTAGAGCAGAGGGACGACGATGCCGGCGCCCATCAGCAGCTGGGAGGAGAACGAGGACGGAGAGATTAAGCCACACATTGAGCTCCATGTTAACCCGTTTCCACTTGTTCAGAACACACGCTACAGATTCATTCGTCAACGCTGGAAATGTGCGTACGTAGAGTGCGTATTATAGTGCATAGAGAAGTCTTGTTGAATAAATAAATCATGTAGCCGTCTGTGGGTATCCGGGCTCTACGAAAGAGAAACTATCTGTATAAACACGTGTATGTAAACCACTGTCTATGGTACAATAACGTCGCTGCCGTCTTTAGGACTAGATGACGTGATTTTGCTACAATGTTAGCGTAGCATAGCCCTGCACTGACCGATCTGAATGCCATTTAAAAAAAAAAAAAGCATTTTAAAAGTCTCAAATTACATAAAATCTATCTTATTTACTGATTTAAATAATTTTAGACTATTTTATTCAAGCACTTATACGGCAGCTTGCGTATTTAGTATTTGACAACTTTGAGGTGTTTATACATATTTTTCTAGAAAAAGCCTTTTTCGTTCAACAAAAGAAGCCACAAAGTATTGAAATAAAAGTAATGTTTTGGTGTGTGTACCCAGCTAGTATCGGTACATTTCAATTTCAGATGCAGTCCGGGGTGTGTGTGTGTGTGTGTGTGTGTCGTACCTTCAGTCCCATGCGTTTACGTTGGTCGTGCTCTGGCTCGGCGGCCCACCTCAAGAACGTACACACGTCTTTAGCAACCTGGCTCATGGTGGCAGGGGTTCCTGTGGAATCGGAGAGTATGTTAACGTAATGCTCTCCTAGACACGGGGTGGATGAAATAGTCAAATCTAGTTTTTCTACAAACAAATTGATTGTGATGTATTAATTCTGAAATTATTTAAATAGAATGGAAAGTCTTTTTTTTTTTTTTTTTTTTTTTTTTTTTTTAAATCAAGTCTATTTAATACTTCAAAAAAAGAATGTATTTCTAGTGAAGCAAGCCAATCTTTTAATATATTTTTATTATGTAAAAAGTAGTTTCTTCCGTCTTTGACAAACTGAAAACATAAGCTTTATATATCTATAGCTATCTATATAAATATGACAAAGACATATTTCCTGGGATACGAGAAGCACCCCCTCAAAATATATTGATGTCGATGCATTTCCAGTTCTGACATCATCTTTGTGCGACAGGTCTGAGCACACATACACGCTGCATCTTCACGTACCGTCGTCATACTCCAGCACCTCGTTGTAGATGGGCGGGGCCATGCCGATGGCCTGGCCAACGAAGTACGGGTTGTAGTAGAGATCTTCTCTCACCTCCACTCCTGCCGGGGGGTCGCAGTATCCCGTCAGCAGGCTGAACACGTAGTCCTCTCCTCCGTGTCTGAGGGGAGCAGCGGAACAAGTGAACACCGAGGATATGTGGATTTTTCCGGGGTGATTTCATGGCTATTAGACTAAACCGTGCAGGTTTTCTGTCTTTTGGTTGTTACCTGGCGTTGACGATGTAGCTGAGATCTGGAGGCAGGGCTCCGTTGTTGGCGTTGCGGGCCGCCTCAGGGTTGGAGTAGGGCTTTGGGAAATAGTCCGACAGCTTTCCTGGCCGGGTGAACATCTCTCCAGTCTCATCGGGACCGTCCACTACCTCAACCTGAACACAAGGAACCTTTTAAGTATGGCTGGAAACCCGAGAATATAACCGCAGATTTCTAAAAATAACCAAAATTACATTTATCAAAAACGTGTAAACTGTAAAATACTAAGACAGTGATGTGTGATCAATTTAAAACCGCACCACCATAAACTCACACACACACAGCCTCACCTCCTCGGCGATGGTCTTAACCTCGGCCTCTGTGTGCGACACTCCCACCAGGTTTCTGAAGGCCAGGTACTCCATACTGTGGCAGGCTGAACACACCTGCTTATACACCTGGTAGCCACGACGAATACTGCAGAAAGAGCGAGACAGGAAGACAAAGTCAGACTATAGAAAGGGCCAAAACGAATGCAGACACTGGAGGACGTGTGTGTGTCCATCCATCCTACCTAGCGTGGTCCAGAGAGGATAGAGGTCCAGCGTGGCTCCAGGGGTAATTGGGGGGGTGGAGCTCCAGGTCGGAGGCTTTGACGGACTGGTGCAGCATCAGGGCGAGCCCCGCCCCCCCGGCTGTGACCACGCCCATCGTGGTCAGGGCAACCTTCTTGCTCCGCGGCAAACTGGCGAAGGACATTTTGGCCTACGAGAAACAAAGACCACAAGAGTCCAGTTAAGTCATCTACTTACAAATCATCCAAGTGCAATAATGTACACGGGATTATTATTATTAACGACTTTATATTCTGTTACAAGACTGACTGACACCACGAATGAAACAAATGATTAAACCGTTAGTTCTTCGAGTCATTTTGAGAGAAAATGGAGATGAGAGTATTGCTGTGTTGTTGGACAAAACACCTGAAACAATCAAAGCCATATCACAGTAACCAAACACGATTCTTTGTACTCAGTGTTTATCCGATACGTTACAGAATTTGAATTGAAGTTAAAGTCTTAGCAAATAGGACTGCAACTAACAATTATTACCATCAATTAGTCTGCCGAGTAATTTCTTGATAAAAAAATGTTTTTGTCTCTAAAATATCCAAATAAAATTGAAAATCCGAATTTGTGGAAGCTCAGTGACATCTGCACCTTGCTGGTTTTGTCCCACCAACAGTCTAAAGCCAACGACAGTCTGATTACATCACCAGAGACAAAGAAAAGCAGCAAACCCTCACATCTCAGAGGTTGGAGCAACGAGGAATTGCTCGGCATTTTTACTTGAAATATGATTCAAAGATGATCAAAACAGATGCTTATTAACTACCGTCTATCAGCTAATCGATCCAGCTCTAGTCACAATATTGATACTATTTTGAAGTGCAGTTCATCCTAATGCCCTTGCTTATAGCGCGTACGCTGGTCGTACTTATGAAACTGCCCTTCACTTCTGTAACCAGGCATCACATAACAGCACCCCTGTATCAGGACACACACAAACACACACCTCCAGCCTAAAACCAAGCTACACAGGAGAGGCGCATATTTACGAATTTGGGACATGAAATGGTGAAGTGGTATCTGCCAGTGGACAAGTGACACACCATTTAAAAGTCCCAAATATTGGAACACATAGTGGTCTCGTAGTTTATCTATACACCTACCTACCCATCTGTCTAACTACCTGTCTTTCATTCAATCTATATCTGTCTGTCCATCTGTCTACCTAACATATCTACATACCTGTCTATCTATCTGTCCATCCATCACACCAATAAACGGCTAAAGACTGCTTTGATTACCGGAAGTCCTTTCAGTCCTTGAAATGCTAAGTCGTTAGCTTGCCGGTTAGCTTCTTTGGCCGTTGTAGTTTATGCCGAAAACATCTTTACAATGTGAAACATGTCAATATCAAAACAGTTACAGACACTAACAACACATACCGTGGCGTGCATAACCGTATCCCTGTACCTTATGGTACAAGTTTAACTTGAGCTAACCTTTTAAATTTTGCCGGGTAGTTTGACACGACTTCATGATCTAGCTAGCGTTAGCTAACCGATCAGTTTGCTCCGTGTAGCTACCAACGTTTTCTAGATCTTCTGCCTTTGTTGTCGCAGTAATTGACGCCATGTCAATCTCTATGCTTACAGAGTGACAACATATAAGAGCAGCTGGTGTCACGGTTGTTGCTGAGAGCCTAAAAATGTGTGAGAACACGAGTGACCTTGTCTCAACTAGGCTAACATGTAGCTACTTAGCTAACAGTAGGACACCTCACAGCAGCACATTTATATTAAATCTATTGTTGTAAACACATTCCATCCTGGGTGCTAAACCTAATACTCCATCTATCGACCTACCACGGGGGTCTTGATAGTTTTCGGTGTGAGGAGGAGACACACTCTCCCACTCCCCGATAGCACCGAGACTCGTAGCGCCGCCATCTTCTTCTCTGCGGTTCTGAGCTGACAGAGAAGCGTCCCGCACTGACGCGAAGACAAGAAACAATACTTTTTCCGGTCTGAACCTTCAAAATAAATACAGCCTGCGTGAAGTCAACTGTTATCACGTAGCTCTCAACTGTCAGAATAAAACCATTGAGAGCCACAACTTCCATTATGTATGAAAAAACTGAAAGAATGAATGGAATTAAACAATATACACATAGCTATACTCATAGGCAATTACCAATATTTGCATACACATAGAGAAAACATGTCTTGCTGGTTACTATTGAAGGGTTAGAGTCGCACAAATACATCTCAGAGCAGTACACAATATGTATAACATAAGAGCTCAATAATGCTTATGGAAAACCTTAAAAGGATAAACTAATCATACAGGTGGACTTTTTTCATCCGTAACACTTTGTACTTGTGTTTGATTTGAAATCTGATGTTTAATTGTCATGTTTAATTTAGCTAATCTAACATTAAACATGACATTTAAACATTATCTCCAAAGAGGAATGAGGATTTTCTCCAGTACAGTATGCTGACAGTATGCTGATTAATCAATATCACTAACAACTTTGTGAAATAATGCTCACATTAAATCATATTGTTTTGATGTATGTCAAAATATATATAACCTACCAACACCTGTCTGTCACAGTATGACATATTTGGGATTTTTGCTCCATTTCCTCTTTGGAGATAACTGAGTATGTCTCTTGAATGATGTACAGTTTGTCTTTTTCTTTGCTTAGTGTTCCTCATTGCCCGCTCAGTGTTGAGTCTTCTGCTTTTATTTTGAAGGTAGCCCTCACCGACAGACCGGAATCAGGGCTGATTCTGGCTTGACTTGATGCAACTTTACACAACGAGGATTTACACAACCATTTTTTCGCATTGTTTAGTAACAACTTACAAAATGAAAAAAAAAACTAAACATTTTAAGTATTCATTTTAATGATCAGTTTGTAATTGATCAGCCGTGAAGGTGATTTTGTGGCAGTAATGTAAAGTCTCCACACAGCGGCTGCTCTTCATAGCGTTTGACCTACATTGTGAAGTTTGTGTGAGACTGTAACTCAACTAACATGATCTTAGTTATGACAGAAACCATTTTATATATCCCCTTTGTGTTTATTTAAGTGGTTTATTATTCAAGCCGAGGGCATATGAGGATAAGAATAGTAGTGCATGATTCCGCCCCCAGTGACCCCAAATAACTTTTGAAGGAGAAACTTTATTGAACCATGACAACATGCCCCTTTCACAGTGGAATCAACACGTGGCACTGTTTTCTTTTTTATTTCTTGTTCGTTGTGACTGAAAACAAGTAAACATTTCGATGACATATTTGACTTATCTTTACTTGAGGGTAGATAAAAAAAAACCTAAATCATAGCCCTTTAATAAATAGTTCACGTTCTTTATTGTCATATCCACATCAGTTACAGTGATGCCATCGTTGGTAATTTAATTCTTGGATCTCAGACTCCCTCGAACAGTGCTCATACAAATAGGCCGTGTATTTAAAGTTGTGTGAATAAAATCTTATTAGAATCTAAGACAGAATAGAGCTGCAGCTAAAATATAGGAATAAACTATAATACTTAATGAAATATAATGCTGCAGGTAAAAGTAAAATGCATATATATATATATATATATATATATATATACATACAGTATATATGTATACTATCTATCCTATATTTTAGCTGCAGTTCTATATTTTCTTCATGTTTGTTTTTTTATTCATTATTTAGTTGTGTTATTTTATTCATGATCAAATCAAACCTTCCATAATCACTGTTTTTTTGACCGATGTTATTCCCCAGACATGGTTTCCATGGTGATATGTGGTAACGGGCAACACAAAGAACACAAAGAAGGAATTTCATACTAAAAAGACGTGTAACTTGGGACGATACTCACTTTATATGTCTGATTTAGACTGGAGACCCCTCACATTAGCCTCATGGAATGTATTTTGGCATGTTGTCCCCCTTCTCTTCCATGTTAAGAGCGAGCCTTTGGATGGTAAGAACAGGAGGAATAACAACAGGAAGCACAGACTGTTTAAAAACGTACACATGGGCACATGCCTATTGTTTTAAGACAGACTTGAAATATTATGAACCTGTCCTTTAACAGCTTTATTGCAGCATCACAAACCCAAATAGGACAACAAACAAAAAGATGAAGCGGTTGTACTTGTGTCCTCCAGAAGATGGAGGCACAGCGCCAAAAAATGAAACAAACGGACATAAACTGAAGCCTAATATCACTCCTCAAAAACGGCTGTGGGGGTTAAACCTCACTTACACAAACAAACGGTTACACATAACGTTTAAAAGTTTGGTGTCACCTGCCAAAAAATAATACATCCTATAACAAGGTGGAATATGTACAGGTGTGCTGCTTAAATGTCTGTGTAGGATTAAAACTTCTCCCGTGTGCCAAACGAAAGGCCTTATCTCGAGCCAGTTGTTGTGAGAGTGACATAGGTCATAGAGAGAATAGCAAAGCCAGTGTGTTGGGCTAACACTATTGGAATATCAGCTGAACATACTACGGACTGAGGAATCACAGTTTAAAGCTCTTCAATCCAACCACTGAGTAGACTGCAGCGGTTCCAAAGAAAACCCTGGAGATCTTTTGGTTGCCGGCATCTAGTGGTCACTACTGGTACTGCTCCTCAAAGGAGATTACAACATAAAGAAAAGGTGTTACTGCGACCAAAACTTTGAATCCCACCATGTATATTTATATACATACACACACAGATATATATACATATACACGCTGAACAACAACTGAAAAACAGGATGTTGATGTTTGTATTAACGTGGGTAATTTGTGCGTGTAAAAGATGGAATTAATCACCTGAATCAGGTATTTTAACATGTAAATGGTGCAAAAATACTTTATTAAGTAAAGCTATAACTTTTCAGACAAATGTATTGCTAAGTGGACCTCCATCAGAGACACGAGATGGAGACGGAAGATATAATCTAAATAATAAAAAGGACAAACATCTAGCCTGAAATATTAAGATACATAAAAACACCCAGCTTGTTTGAATGAGCTGAAGTTGATTGTGAGTGGAGGCGCAGATGGATGTTTGGTGTTTTGACAGCAGGTGGGTAATAAACTATTCATCAGCCCCAGCAGTGTCTGTCATCGCCTGTCATGTTAGCTTGACAGGAGGCCTTCCCTGTGCGCGCTGTGCATGCGACGCGCTCCAAATGCACAGCGAGATGATGTTAGACTCAAACCAAGAGCTCATTAGACACGAGCACCAATTAGAAACCTAGAGCCTCACTTTGTTCACCGTAATGTCGGAAAACCACAAGAAACTTTCTCAAAACCGCAGCCGTTTGGATAACGTAAGTTTTACATGCAGCTAATGCTAACGTGTGTAGGATACCATGAAAAGTTATTCCGGTGTTTAACAACTTGGGTCTAATTTTTGTAGTTTTTTTCCATCTTTCCTATCAATAATAATAACAAAGATGTGGGAACAAAGTGACATCACTACAAGAAGTCTGATTGGTGACAGACCAACATATTCTAACCTAAGTGCGTCAAACTAAACCCTCCAGCGGGAGTTGTGTCAGGGATGGCTTGTCCTCGTTACAGTTTTCTGTCTTCACAGGAAGTTTAGACAACAAAACCACTCAGTTAGGTTCAGGAAAAGAGCGTGGTTGACGTTATCTTGACTAAAGACTCGTGATTAGCGCCTCACATGACGGAGGCTGGTTCGTTAAAACACAGCAGAGTCCATATCAATATTAGGCTACTATTGAGAGCAGTTGAACTCGTCAAGAGACCGAGGTTGAGCTTTTCAATCAGCATGAAAAGCTTGTTCTGTCACAACTTTGCATGTTTTCACAGTGTTGTCGCTGAATGCATTGATTATAATGGAGTCATAAAGAGAGATTTTTATTTAAATGTATTATTTGAATGTGGAACAGATCAACCTTCACACGCTGGTGAGCAGATCTGACATCTGAAGTTATTGTCTCAGATCTTTTTAATGGCTGCCGTAGGAGCGTGCTGTGTAATTATAGACACGTTAGCTGTCATGAAGATTATGGGCCGTACATCAGTCTCTGCGCCAGCGTGTGTTGTTGAGATTCGTGTATTTTGAAGTGCACGTGGCTGCGACATTGAGTGTGGCTTGTGTGCAGAGAATAGTGTATGTGTGTGTGTGTGTGTGTGTGTGTGTATCGGTGCTCGTCACTCGTGTCGTGTCAGACGTTTAAATCACAGTGAGCGGCTCTTTGACAGCCTCTGCGTATCTGCGTTCCGACTCTGTGACATTAATTCTACCGGCGTGTGTGCAGATAAACAGGTTGCAGGTGTGGCTGCGCTCGAGCAGGCGGATGATTTAACTGCTATGCAAGCTTCTTTTTAAAAGAGGCAATAATTGATCCTTCTTTGACTTTAAGACACTATGGATGTCACAAAGCAATAAAAAAAAAGTAACATGGTTAGGATGCAAATGCACATGAAGCAGACGGACAGGATCAGTTCAGTGATTCATTTAAAAGGTACAGTATATAGGTTAACAGGTAAAGCGGCAGATTAACCAAAGCTCAAAAGCAAATTACCGCCTCGCAGTTGTACGCCTGCACCAACCAGTCAAGTTGTCAAGATGTCCATCCAAAATGTCACTTCATCATTTTATCCTCTTAGACATTTGTGTAAAATTGTCACCAAAAATGTGTTTTGTGAGGTCACTGTGACCTTTGACCACCAAATTCTGACCAGTTCATCCATGAGTCCAAATGGACGTCTGTGTGCCGATTCTATAGAAGTCTATGAGAAAATGACTCTACTTCTCTCTTGATTTATTACCTCAGTAAACATTGTAAACATGAGTTTATGGTCTCAATCTCTAGTTTCAAGTCTTCTTCAATACAGCATGATGTTCATTTAGTAAACTATGGTCCATTTAGAGTCAAACAGACCATAAAGCAGGGGATGCTTTAGGGCGGGACTTACTGTGATTGACAGGTCGCTACCAGAGCCTGTTGTTA